AAGTTTCTTCTTCACAGAGAAAGAATAGAGGGAAAGGCTTAAATTGAGATCAGAAAGATACACGGTAGGTCTGAGTACATCTCTTGGCATTAAGAGAGATTAAAAACTGGAATGGTCTCCTTAGTGAGGTCCTGAAATCTCTACCTGAAAACCATGAAGAATCAGGTAGGAGGCTATTAGTTTCCACAATTTTTGTAAAAACTAGCTCAGGTCATCCTTTGATGCCATTTTGGGAGCATCTTTTTTAAATTTTTTAAATTTTTAAAAAATTTTTATTAAGGTATCATTGATACACAATCTTATGAAGGTCTCACATGAGCAACATTGTGGTTACAACATTCACCCATATTATCAAGTGCCCCCAACACAATCCATTGTAGTCATTGTCCATCAGCATAGTAAGATGCTATAGAGTCACTACTTGTCTTCTCTGTGCTATGCTGCCTTCCCCATAGCATTGTGTGTGTTAATCATGCCTTTTAATCCCCTTCTCCCTCCCTCCCCACCCACCCTCCTCACCCCTTTCCTTTTGGTAACCACTAGCTCTTCTTCCAGTCTGTGAATCTGCTGGTGTTTTGTTCCTTAAGTTTTGCTTCCTTGTTATACTTCACAAATGAGGGAAATCATTTGGTACTTGTCTTTCTCCACCTGGCTTATTTCACTGAGCACAATACCCTCTAGCTCCACCTGTTTTGTTGCAAATGGTAGGATTCATTTTCTTTCTGATGGCTGAATAATATTCCATTGTGTATATGTACCATATCTTCTTTATCCATTCATGTACTGATGGACACTTAGGTTGCTTCCGTGTCTTGGCTATTGTAAATAGTGCTGCGATAAACATAGGGGTGCATCTGTCTTTTTGAATCTGGGATCTTGTTTTCTTTGGGTAAATTCCTAAGAGTGGAATTCCTGGGTCAAATGGTATTTCTATTTTTAGTTTTTTGAGGAACCTCCATATTGCTTTCCACAATGGTTGAACTAATTAACATTCCCACCAACAGTGTAGGAGGGTTCGGTTCCACAAGTCTTCTTAAGTAAAATGAAAAAATTATTAGTAAAGATGTTCTCACACTGTTGAGCATTAAATTTTTATTTTTTCATCATACTCAAAGGAGTATCTAAAAGATTTGGAAAATACAGACAAGTGTAAAGAAGTGAAAAACATTACACCTGCCACCTTAATCTAAATGCTTTGTTTCGTGGTTGAATTGAAAAATAATTTTTTCAATTAAACAATGTAATACTTTGTAGAAGAACACCTCCACCCCCAAATCAACCATAGTTTTACACACCAGAAGTAACAATTATTAACATTTTGGTGGAATGAAATGGAATTTAAACACCTTTTTCAGCCTCACAGGGGACTGAAAACCAGGAGATTTAAATGATGGTGAATGGCAGTAGGTGGAGTTAGGGCTTCCCGTCACATGGGCAGATGCTGAGCCTAACAATAGTGAGGTAATGAAGTCTATCCCTGAGCATCTTAACAGCAAGGTCAATCTCTCCCAATTCTGCTGGGGCAGGTTCCAAATACTGTGAGGGCTTGTTCAATGGAAAATCAGTCCTAAGGGATTTTGTCCAGTAAAGTAATTATTGAGTAAGGTCATTCATTCAACAGATTAAGTACTTAACATGTGCCAAAATTGCACAAGATATTGCGGGTGTGATGATACACCCAAGAAGATGCTAACAAGAACACAAACACTGAACAAAAAAAATCATACAAAGAAGTAAAATGTGGAAGGAACCAAGAGAGGTACAGGAGATTCCTTGATCATCTACGACACTGGAAGTTTTAGCAAATGAGATCTCATTTAATCATCTGGGAACTGGGGGAGGTAATTTGACCTCTCTGAACCTCAACTTCACTTGAAAACAGGGACAGAGTTTCTGGGAGAGAACATTCATTAGAGTGGCAAATGATGTTCCAGGTTTTGATTCACTCAAGTATAAAAATGAGGCACATTTTACACTTCAGACTCAAAACCCTCTTGGAGACAGAGCTAGCATTTAGTGATTCCACTGTGTGTGAGGTGCTTTACAAAGACCCCATTTAGTCCTAATTCCTCCCCTTGAGTTTAGGTATCCCCCTTGTCCAAATGGGCGTTGAGTCAATGAGGTTTCATAACTTGACCAAGACCACTCAGCTGGAGAATAGCAGTATGAAGATTCAAACCCAGGCCTGCCACAGTCCAAAGCCCCTGACAAAGATTATTTCAAGTGAGGTTCAGGGGTGTGTATGTGTCCTTTTGGGAATTCCTAGTCTGATGGTGGTTTCTCGATTCCTGAACTTGTGCTCTGTTCATAACTGCAGTTTGAAAACAGTGACTCATCCCCAAGCAGGGCAGGGTTGCATATAGGTCCTGTTTATCCTACAGTGCCCTGTGGCGCCTGTGTTGTCTTCAAAGATACTTGGTAATAAAGGCACTGTGGTAACAGAAACCACACACCAAAAAAAATGCATAGGGGTTTTTTTTTCGTGCTCAAGAGTATAACTCATGAGTCTCATTTACTTTAAGTCAAAGCTACTTAAGGTTTAATGACTAAAGGCAATTTTCCAACACATAACTTGTACAGTCCCCTGAACATATTCTTTTCACACTTAACTATGATGTTGTTATTAGTTTCTGTTTGATTCTGCAAGAGTAGAGACCTTGAAATATTTACAATGGGCTTCCCCCATGGCTTGACCCAACTGTGAGAGCCGAGCGGTGTTGGCTGAAAGAATGAAAGGTGTTTCCACAGTGCTGGCACAACTTTCTTTTGCCACTGTAAAAAGTTACCACAAGTTTACTGGCTTAAAACAACATCCACTTACATCTCTTAGCTTTGTGTGGGCTGACACAGTGTAGTGTGTGGCTCAGCTGGTTCTCTGATAGGCTAAATCAGGGTGTTGACAGGTGGCATTCCTTTCTGTAGACTTGAGGGAATGGATGGAAGAGGGGTAAGACCTGCTTCCAAGCTTGTTTAGGTTGTGAGAATTCAGTTCCACAAGGTTATAGGACTGAGGTCTCATTACTTGCTGGCAGGGTTTGTTCTCAAGTTCTAGAGGTTGCCTACATTTCGTGACTCATGGCCCCCTTCTTGGCCAGAAATGTAGGTTGGGTTCCTCTCCAGCTTCGAATATGATTCTTCTCCTGCCTCATCTCTCCAGAACATCTCTTCTGCCTTCAATCTTCTGCTTTTAAAGGTCTACGTGGTTACAGTGGGCCCATGCAGATATTCCAGGATAATCTCCCTGTTTTATGCTCCTTAATTACATCTGCAAAGTCCCTTTGCCATGGAATGCAACATATTCATAGGTTCCAGTAACTAGGGCACAGATAATTTTCGGTGGGTGGATAGGGAGGACATTATTCTGCCTACCACAGTGCCTGTACCACACATGTAAATTTAAGAGTGAATCTTACTATTTACTCCTTGGAGGTCAGAGGAGGGGTGAAGCTACCTAAGGGGACATTTGAAACAAGCCAAATGACTTATCAAAGGCTACTGTGTTGGTTGTAGTTTTAAACAAAAACAAAAACGCTTTGTAAAACAGGTCAATATTTTTTGGTGGTGTAGGGGGATTGTTCTTCTTTTCCACCACTTGGGGTGAAGTTGGAAGATTAGAAAATATGCCTTATTTCACCGTCTGTAGTCTATTCACCGTGCAGGCTTTTGTTTATTGGACATGAAAGTCTTCTATGTGAGGAGCATAAGAAGCAAGAGCCCTGGATTCCATGATATTTTGGCTGGGCAACACAGTGGAGGTCTTCTCTAAGCACTGGCTCTCCCATGTGCTAATACCAGGTAGTGGGGGATTTGTTTCCTCATCCGGGGAAACCTTTCAAATCTGGCCATTGACCGTGCCTCTGCAGTTTTTAAGAGCTGGCCATTAATCCAGTTTAGTACTGATACTAGGAATGTTTCTGGACATTGGCTCAATAAAGAGGCACAGAAAAGCTATGTGTTAGGTATTCTGAACCTCATTTCACATGCTCTGCAACCAAGGATCAGAAATGATAAATACATTTCCCATTGTCTTATTCCAGAAGCCAGATTATATGGACCTAAGGACAAGTTCCCCCTTCATACCCTCTTTCAATCTGCCAGGTGGTTTATGTTAATATTAATCCCAATAATGCTATTGGGTATTGGACTGTTGTAGATTAGAAAACTGAACTCAGAAAGGTTGAGCCCCTAATTTTAGGCCGATGGGCAATGAGTGATTTAGCCACAATTTCAGTCTAGATCGTTTGACCCCAGGGCCTATATTCTCTACAGGGCACTGCCTCTAGAAAGGCCTCAAGTGCATTCTGGTCAGTATGGCCCCAAAATCCAAGTTCTCTACCCATCATCATACCACCAAATTTACCAGGTGGTAAGTATACTCTAGGCTGGGGGTGCAGCTTCTGCAAAAACAGCGGCATAAAAGCACAGGAGTAAATGGGGAAATGTCTAGGTCCATTAATCATGGAATAATCGTTTTACTGGTATGAGTGTCTTTTTGTCTCATTATTATGCGGCAGTGAGTCATTTAGGGGAGGACCAAAAGGGAAAGTCCTATCTTGTCACCTGCGAGAAGTGTCGGAACATCTTAGGCGGGGAGAAGCCCAAAGTGGGAGCCGCGAGTGGAGCTGACAGCTCTCAATCCCCACCCTTACCCGCCAGGCGGCCCCAAGGCGAGAAGCACCGAAGGGGTTAAACGCGGCGGGGGAAGCCCAGCCACCGCCCCTTCCCAGCATCGCCTCCCAGAATGCCTCAGGCCAGTTCCCGAACCTCGCGAGACTCCGCCCAATCTTCCCCGAAGGACTGCCAGTCCCCCTTGCTGACCAAGGTTTGCACAAGGCGGCGGGAGGGAGGCGAGGGCGGAAAAGAAGGGCCGCGGGGCACGCCGGGAACTGTGGTCCAAGCGTTTCAAGCAGCCATATTCTTCCGGAGCGGGGCGGCCCAGAGAGGCATCCGGGACTACGATTCCCAACTACCCTTTCGGTTTGTTTTTGTTCAAAAAAAAAAACCACACTCCCCCTCCTCACTCTTCACACACACACTCACACACACCCACGGCAGACACGCACGCACCCGGGCGCCGAAGGGAAAGCCGCGTCTCGCCTTCCTGCCCCGCCGCCAGTCCTGTCTCGGCCTCTCAGCAAAGCGGGAAAGCGGAGGCCGGAGCCGTGACCTCTGACCCCGTGGTTATGCAGAGCCGCCGCATTCCTTAGCGATCGCGGGGCTGCCGCCGCTGCCGCCACCGTGGGCGACTGACGCAGCGCGGGCGCGTGGAGCCGCCGCCACCCCTCCCCCCCCGCCGCCCTCGCGCTAGCCGATCCCCGCGCACCCGCCCCTTCTCACCGGCCGCACCCGTCCTCGCGCGCCGTCGCCACGCGCCCCCCGCCGCCGCCGCCACCCCAGCCCCGCGCCTCTGCCGCCCGCCCCGCCCGGAGGTCCCGCGTGGAGCCGCCGCCGCCAGGGAGGAGGAGGATGAAGGACAAACAGAAGAGGAAGAAGGAGCGCACGTGGGCCGAGGCCGCGCGCCTGGTGAGGCGGGCTGCCAGCGGGGGGCTCGGTAGGGGGTGTGGGGGGTGGGCTCGCTGAGCACCCTCCACCGGGAGGGGGAGGGGCAAAGCCCTGCCCTCCGCAGAGGGGGCGGGGCCACCCTCAAGGAAAGGGACAACCCCGCAAGGCGCTGGGTGGGGAGAGGCGGGGGGCCGGGTAGGATGTGGCGCCTTTTTCTGCACGCTCTCCCCCCACCAACCTCAACCTCTTTAAATTCCTGCGGAGGGGCGAGCTGGCAGGCCGGCTCCTCCCCCTTCGGGCGGCGGGGCCCCAGCCTCCCCTCCCCCACTATTTGGCAGCGTCTGGGGGTCGGGGAAGCTTCGTTTTTGCGCTGGAGGGAAGTTGGGTTTCCGGGAAGGGTTGGAAGCCCCTCCCTTGCTTCCTGGTGGGCAGTGGGATGGTGCGTTTGACTCTAGGGGTGGGAAAGAGCCCCCAGTTTGAAGGACGCGAATGGCATTTTGAGCTTTCCCAATCTAAACTGGGTATGTGGAGGACATTAAGTACTTCCAGCTTGAACGCAGCTGGTTCTCAAACTTTAGTGTCCTGCGGGGACACCTGGGGAGGTTGTTAGGAATGCATGTCCTAGGGCCCTACTAGGATTTAAAGAGTCTGAGATTGTAGAGTTAGAGCCTTAGTACCTAGAATTAAGCTAGAATTAACCAGCTTCCCAGGTTGATTCTAATGCTGGTGGCCCACGGATCACACTGAGAAATGCTGACTAGAGTGTTTTACTTAATACGCTAGATTGAAGATGGGTACTCTGCAGGGAACTGACCACACATTGCAAAAACGTATGTGTTCTCCATTCCTTAGTGTTCTGGTGCTTGTATACGTGAAGTATTGGACAAAGACGGAGTGTCTGAAGATTCGGCTTACTGAGGATTTAGTAAAGGAAAGAGTAATTTGAGTGTGTGAGGCTGTATAGTGAGGGGGGTTGTAAATTTTCCCTTTTCAAGGCCTCAGAGGACTTACAAGTGAAGTATCTTCCTTTTAGGTTTGTACCCACAAAGCTAAGAGGCCCTGAGACATGTTCCTGTAAAGTCTGGCTGATGACAGTGGGAACAGGTTGTACTCCCAAAGATGTCACTTTCTCAGAACTGTCACAGAACAGGGTTATTGGGTAGATAGCATACTTGTCCTTTGACACCCCATAGTTTATATGTAATTGCTGTAATTCGCTTTTAATTATGAATGAAGCACTACCTGTAATCTTTCATTTTATTGAGATTGCTGCTTTAAAGGTATTGTACAAAAAAAGGTGATTATGTATTGAGAGTTGTTACAAATCTATGTATGGTCAGTTTTTTCTTTCTTAAAGCTTGTAAAACTCAGTTATTGACCTACAGGAATTAATGCTAATGCTGTTCAATTTATAGGAGAATTTTCACTGGTGTTCCTGATCATCTTCCCCTGACTTTTGTTGCCCAAGGAACAGAAATAACAATTGTTTATATGCTGAAGTTTTGTGCTTCCGTTAATTTGCTTTGGTTTGGCATATCAAATTTGAAGATTTTGAAGTTCCTAAATATTTTTTTCTGGTTAAATAAAAATTGGAAGCTTTGGCTATCTTTCAGGATCTCTTGGAAACTTGAGGATTTTTTCAGTGTTGCTTCACCTGGAAACATTAGGCCTGAAGGAGAGTAGGAGAGAGCCAAAAGAATGTGTGCTCCTTCTCCCTGAGGTTGAGGGTTGGGTGTTCTTTGATATTCTTCCGCTGAGTTCCTGTTAGGCAGGTGTTTATGACTCTGGGCACCAAAAGAAACTCTGCTTGCCAGAGTTTTACTTGTTAGAGGTAGGTGAAAGTACCTTTAAATCTTGCTTATTTATGTTCTGACAGAATTCTGAAGTCTGTCTGTTTCAAAGCTCTGTTGGCTCTTACTAGTTGAAAGACTTTAGGACTGTTCTGCTAAGCCTCTTCAGGTTCTTGAATTTACTGTGATCTGAACTCCCAGTCCAGGTTGCTGTTTCTTGTTTATGGTTGGCTCAACTTCATACCACATTATCCAAGTAAGTTCTTTCTCTTTTTCTTCCATGGTTCGTCATTAAAAAGTTATAATGTGACTAGGAATTACTTTGTGGTACACTTAAACATGCAAAAGGAACTTGCGTGTTCATGGCAACATGGTGCATAATTTTGCATGTTTTCTATTATTTTTTGGTTTTAGAATTTTCTGTCTCTTTAGATGGGACCTGGAACCAGTTGGTGGATGAGAGGCTCTTTTTAGAATCCTCTCCCCATTAAAAAAAACTGCTCTAACCAACTGGAGTGCTGGAGAGGTCATGAGAGCCTACACTGGACAGAGAGCAGCTTGACTAGAGTGAGTTGTAATAGTAGGGCAGTAGATTAAATCTACTCTTTGAACAAGTGAATTTGGAGTGCTTGCCATGACAATCAGATGCACTTGCTTCATATTGCTCCTGTCCTTGCCCAGATTGGTGGCGAGAGTGATACTGGGAACCCTTTTAAAAACTACTTATGGTAGGAAAGAATAGACTTCTGGAGAATTTCAGTAGTGTAGTAGTTTCCACGAGGTTAATTTTTGTAGATGTTAATTATGTTGTTGAGAAGTAGATACTCTCAAACATTTTGTAGTATTGTCTTTTCTCCATGTAAGAGGTAGACTTCTAGGGGGTTGGATGGGTAGAAATCCTCCTGCTTGTTAGGAACAATTTGTTTGGGAGAAATAGCCGAGAGGATTTCCCTTTAAATTGAATGCCCATAAATGGATCCTCCCTGGCTTTGAGAAACTCTTCACTGCACGCCTTATCTTTCACTTTGAATCATGACTGACCATTCTTACATCAAACCTTTTTTTTCCTTTTGAAGTAGGAAAAGAGGTTTTTTTTCTCTCTCTTTTTAAAGCTTGCTGCAGAAAGAGACTAGGAATAGAACACTGCTGAATTGTTTTACTAAAAGCTGGAGGCATATACAGTTTTAATAAAAGTGAATACTTTTATATCTTTTGATGTAACTTTCCTTTAGCGATTTTGTTTCTTAGATTCTCAGGCTCTTCCTGACTGCTGTTTAAATAATTGGTAACTAATTTTTCAGTCATGCTTCTTAAAAAAAAAATTACCCTCCTACAAAAATTTGCCAGCTCAGCTCACACTTAATTAGTGTCAAAGAAATGAATTCTCTGGCAGTGAATGTTGGTAGTTTGTACCAGGGTTTATTGTAGCTTTGTTCAAGTCAACACTGCCTAACTTGGTACTTAGGTTCTTGGAATACAAAGATGGATGCAGTTTGTCCTTGAGGAGCTTATAGTCGGTCTTCTGGGGGTGGGGAAGGTTCAGACCCATGAACACAATTTTGCTACAGGCATAAGTGCATCATAGATGCATAAATGGTAAACAGACGTCCTAGTTCCTACTTACTATTGTTCATGTGTAATTATGAATAGTTCCTTCTTTCACTTTCAAGTATCCTGCTTTAGAAGATAAATTGTATCTTAATTTTCATCAGAAGTTAGAGAAGGCTTTCTGGAGGAAGGGGCTTTCCAAACTGAATTTTGAAGGGTGAGTAAGAGGCCCATCACAGAGGTTGTGAGCAGCAGCTGGTGACAAGACATAGCCTAAGTGCAGTGTGTGTATGTGTGTGTGTATGTGCGTGTTTACTTGCAGGGTGGAGAGTGGGACTTGGGTAGAACTATGCATGGTTATTGGAACCTAAAATTTGTGGAGTATCACTTTGGTAAACAGGCAAAGACCTGATTGTGAGGGCCTTGTATATCAGGCCAGTAAGCACCTATTTTGTGCCAGGCACTATAGGTGCTTACATGCATTATTTCTAATCTGTAAAACAACTCTGAGAGGAACACATCAGTGTCCTTCCTTCACAAATGGGGGAGCCTAGGCTCAGGTTGGGTAACTTGGCCAAGTTTAGAAGGCCAGATTTTGAATCCAGGTCTGTCTGGTTCGAAACCCTGTGCTTTCCCAGTGGGACCAGTGGACTTGGGACGCTTCAGCTTTTGCTGTATGTGTATAGGCTGCTGTTGGAGGATTTTAAAGCGGGAAAGTTTGTTTTGTTGGGTTGACTTCAGGAGATAGCAGGTAAGTTCTGCAAGAGCAGGGATTTGGCTTTGTTTACTCATGATTTCCTAGAATTGTTCCTGGCACAAAGCAGTTCATGTATTTGTTAAATGAAGGATGGCAACAGAGAAAGGATGAGATTTAATGAAAGCAGGTCTGGTTGCCAGGGATATTAGCAAAGAGCTGCTGTGTTGGGTCAGGTAAAAGAAACTGGCATTGGGGACAGTGAAGGATGACACCTATTTTCTGAATTAGGTGAGTAGGCTGCCAGTCAAGGTAGGGAATATTGGAAGAAGAGGGCAGATGAATTAAGAGTGGAGATGAATTCTAAGTAGACGATCAAAGGGGGGACATCCAGTGCAGAACTGAATTTTTGAATCTGAACCCTGGGGAGAGACCTAGGGTAGAGGGAGAGACTTGGGAGCAATCAGAAGTTAGGTCATACTTGAGACTTTGAGAGATGATAATGTTATTCAAGGAGAATGTACAAATTGAAAAAAGAGAGTCTAAGAATGGGGCCATTGGTATATGGGGGTTTTATTTCAGCACCTATTTCTCCAAAACTCAACTTCCTTTAGTGCTAAGGGCTCATGTTCTTACACAGGGACAATCTTCAGCAGTGGTCCTGTCAGACTTCTTGCTTTCAGCTTTATTTGTGACAGAACAGTGCTTAGTTGTTACAGTTGTGAAATGACTGCCAGATGTTAGTGAGGTTTGAGTAACCCCAGCAGCCACACATGTAGAGACAGTACAAAGATAGCGGCAGCCCCTATTTTCTCCCTGAGAAGGGTAACATTTAGAAAGCAACTCAACTTCTTAATGTGAGAGAGCTGCAGCTGCCCACTAAAAACTACTGCCATGACTTAGTTACGGTTGATGTAAACATAAAAAGGATGTTCTCTTTCTCATTGTTTTGTGTGTACCAATCATACAGAATCATAGCATTGCATTGCCAAATGGCAAAATGTACTGTGGCATTTAACACCAGAATTTCACGACCCAGTCGCAATACTCATCATTTAAAGATGTGGGAAAGAAAACCTGCTGAATGTATTTCTGTCTTATAATTTATTGTGTAGTGTGTGTATCCTGTGGCCCAGCCATATTAACAGCATCAAGTTAAGCAGTCAACAGATTTGCTAAGGCCCTATATACCATAACGTGTATGCTAAGAAGATACGTGTGTTCTTACAATTGAGAATTAGGATAGTTCAGCTAACTAACTGCAGTCACTTTCAGCAACTAGGTAGATACACGTATAATTTGGTTTCTGAAGTAATTTTCATGGGTGGAAAAATAAGTCATCAACAGTGGTACTTCATAGCACAACTGGAGCTCATGATAGATTGATGGCTGTCATGGGAAATTGCACACTGAAATCAAAACATTTATATTTCTTCAGGTACTAGAAAACTACTCGGATGCTCCAATGACACCAAAACAGATTCTACAGGTCATAGAGACAGAAGGACTAAAGGAAATGAGGTTTGTATTGCTCTTACTGCTTAACATGAGGGTGTCATAGGAATGTGTCTCTCTAGTCGGGCAGTGATCTGAGGGAGTCCCCATGTGCCTATAAGCGTGTGTGCTCGTGTGTCTGGTGGTAGTGTGGAAACTGTCTCTCAAGTTGTGTGGCCCCTGAATTGGTAGGCAGGAGTGGTGAACATCCATTTGTTACCATCAGAGATGCAGCGGCTTTCCCCGTTCTTGCTTTTCCTTAACTCTTTATGTGGAGCTTATTTCTTGTCTAAGGAATAGGGCTGTCTTCTCTTGTGCTCTGGTTTGGAAATTTCAGTAATAGGAAAGGGGCTGATTCTGATAGTCTCTATCGTGTCTGAAACTACCCTTCTGTCTATGCTGAATCTCCGAAGTCCTTTGTTTTAGGAACAAAAAGGGGGTCTCGTTACCATAAAACCCACTGGCTTTTTCCTGCCTTCTGGTTCTAGCCATTTGTGACATGATTATACTAAATTTGGGGTGACTTGATTTTCTTATGATGTAGTTTTCCCAGAGAAGCAACAAATTAGAAACAAAAAGGAATTTCAGGCACAAAAACCAGTAATGGTCCTTAATCCTTTTCTCTCCTCACCCTCACTCCAAACTTTTTATTTTTTCTTAAATGCAATACAGTCTGTTGTTGGGACTCAGAACAAACAGCATAGATAGATATTTTCTGGTTATGCTTTAGCTGCTTGAAATTGACTGTTCAGGGTTAAAAGATCCTTACTTTCCAGTTGTCAGTTTAAACGTTCTTGAGTTGACATTTTGCGGGGTGGAGGTAGATCAGGATTGTCTAAATCACATTCATTTGAATGGTACTGTGCATGTGTAGTGTCATAATTGTGTTTATTTTTGTTTTTCTGGGCTATTTCCTATCATGCTGCTGTCTTACACTGCTGTTGGACCACAATGCCTATAGAAGGTAAATGAGTCCCTTTGGGACAGATGGAATTGAGAAACTTGTTTCTGCTTCTTGCTCTTATAGGAATTATGAAGCAGTCACAGTGGCCTGTGATGAGTGAGCAGCACTGTAATTTGTAGACAGAGGTATAGTGTGTAGGAGTTACAGTTCGCAGGACTGTGCCAGTGTGCTCTTCTCCCTTGTAGCAGATGTGTTAGCACACCCACTTGATACTCCAGATTCTGTACAGGGTTTCTTTTAGAGGTTGGTTCTTGGTGAAAATCTTTTTAGCATCCAGTGTGTTCCAAAGCAGAATAAGTAATAGGTTTTTTTTTAATAGTTTTTTTAGATTCAGAATTTATTTTTAACATTCTGCATAAATTAGTGCCTCTGGTTCTGAAAAATGCTAAGCGATTTTACTTAAGATATTTATCCTTTTTTAACATGCTGGGGAGTGGGAAGAGAAGGTACGCAGGTGAACCCTGGCACTAATGGGCTAGTGTCAAACCCGTTAATATCAACGACAGGTCTATATTTTTGATAACTTTTCTATTTTATGATTTAGTAAGTAGCCTCTAAGTCACTGAGTTGTCATTGTTTTGTGACTGCTGTTGTAGCAGTGATCATGACATAACTTAATATGCCATCTTTTTTCTGGTGTAATATTTGAGCACTATTGGATACCCATATTTCTTTGACCTCTTTTTTTTTTTAATATTCAGATTTAAATTATTGCTCCTGGGTAGATGTAGAATAAAATCTGTTCTTTCCCTTTCCCAACAGAGAAAAGGAAATGAAATACTGTTCCTTTTGTGTACTTATTAGAAAATATTTAACTGGAAAAAAAAGGTGTGCTTGTTTTCTTGGGACAGCACCATTGATTCTGTGGGCTTGTGTTTGTAATGTTAATGTGGCAATTTGTGAGCATGATCTGCAGGTTGAATTACAGAGGCTACGAAACTCTTGGTTTTGTTTTTACTATTAAAATTTAATTTTAAAAATTTTATAAAAATATTGGGTAATATTTTTTTTTTTTTTGGTAATGTGTTTTTTTAAAGCTCCTGAGTGAACTTGAAAAATCATTGTGTAGTGTTTCTAAATTTCTTAAGAATTTGGTTTGCATTGTCAAAAGGTGCTAAAGAAGTGTCAGGTGTGGAGCAGGCTGTCACATAACATGTCTTATTCCAGAGCTTTCTGGGTGTGATTTATATGAATTTCATTTATAACTCTTTTCTACTTTCAAAGTGGAATTGTCATTTTCTTGCTCTGCTTCTTGTTTAAGAAATGAGCTGTAGGGCAGTAGATCTTTGAGTAAGTAGTCATATGGATTTATGATCCTCATCCATCCTTATATGTTTTTACAGTGGGACATCTCCTCTTGCGTGTCTCAATGCCATGCTACATTCCAATTCAAGAGGAGGAGAGGGCCTCTTTTATAAACTGCCTGGCCGCATCAGTCTTTTCACACTCAAGGTAAGTAATATAAACTCTGTTTTAGTACAGTTGTTCTTTAACTTTTAGTGTACATAGAGAATCACCTGGTAGTTCTGGGCTGAGGCCCATTAGTGTGCATTTCTACTAAGCAGGCAGATAATGCTGATGCTGTTGGTCCTAAATGGCACTTTGACTGAGGTGTTTTAGTGTGAATAGGGTATTAGGAATTATTTAGTCATATCAGCTATTGTGTCTATAGTCAGCTTTTTCTGTTTATGTCTTTGTAGATTGTATGCAGTAGACGGATAAGTATGTGTGTGGGTAATTGTAGATGTGCCTTAATTAGGATTTCATTGGTAATAATGCTATGAAAGATAAATTGGTGGGCAACTAAAGTAAGACCTACTCTGTAGAAAAATAACTAAAATGTGGAGATACTTATGGAAGTCCAAAAACTCATTAGCATTTACTAAGTAACACTAATTACTTCAGTAGAGTCCATCATAAAGCTTAAATAGAGCTAAAATGAACAGACTGATTATTTCTCTACCCTCTGTGATATATATGGCTGTCATTAAACCAGGGGTGGCAAACTTTTTCTGTAGAGGGCTAGATGATAAATATTTAAGCTTTGTGGACCATACTATCTTTATCATAACTATGTAACTCTGACACTATAGCAGGAAAGCAGCCATAGATGATGCACAGACCAATGGGCATGGCTGAGTTTCAGTAGAACTTTGTTTACAAGAACAGGCAGCAGGCCAGATTTGGCTTGAGGCTGTGGTTTGCTGACCCTTGATTTAGACATAAGGTGACTGTTGATTTTGAGGAAACTGAAAATTTGATGCTGACCCTTACTGCTCTTTGTAATGTAGTTATAAATTGCAGTAGTCCACATACAAACTTTTCCCCTTGAGTTTTGTTTTCTTGATAGACTTGTTTAATTCAAAAGTAAACACTTCAAATACCAGCTATGTAACCTGTAGTCATAAAACGATCTCTAAGTACACATCAAATGTTAATCTTATGTTCAGACGTCTGTGCTGTTTTCTATGTTGTTTTTATTTCTAATATTTCAAGCTTTTTTTGTTAAGAGGTAGCATAATGTAATGGGCCTTAAGAGACAGAGCCCTGAGTTCAAAACCTAGCTTTGTAACGTGGGATGGATTTTCTTAGGCTGGTGCATGCATCACTGACAGTCAGTCCTTAATAAATGGCAGCTTTTATGGTATTCCTTCAGGTTCCTCATCCTTAATTGCTTATTAATGGCATTTTTGTTATATATTGTTATATATATGTAATTATATGTAATTATATATAATTATAATTATGCATTATTATATATATTACAAATGTGCTAGCTAGTGGCATGTTTCTATTTTAAGAGGGAAGAGAAACACCTTTTTCTGTGAACACATTGAGAGTAGGACTGCATTTTATTTGTCTTTGTAACTTAGCTCTGGGCAGATTTCCTGGCATAGTCCATATTTAATACATTTTTTAGCTGAATTGAATTTGTTCACTTTAATTTTAATATGTTTCAGTAAATATATTACTCCATTTTATGAGTTTGCTGTAAGCTTGTGGGTGTTCTGTTAGTTTGCAGTCTGTGTCTGAGATGCATTGATTGAAGGTATGCTCAGTACATTCTCTCATCTGCCTTTGGCTTTACGTTACTTGGTCTTCATAGCATCTTGCTCGTTGGGGTTGTATGTCACCTCTTTGATACTCTTTGTGCTCTTTCTGGGCTAATGGTTTGCTTGTCTGGTTCCCCCAGTTAGACTATAAACTCTGTGAGGGCAGAGACTAGGTCTTAACTCATTTCAGTATCCACTAGGGTCCTGTACAAATTAGTCATCAATAAATGCATATTGAATGAATGAATTAGTGATTAATGGCTACATTCTGGTATTTTATTATTATCCTTTTGTTTTGATATTTGATAATACTGTTCATAATCTTTTTTAAAAAATTTTTATAAAGGTATTATTGATATACACTCTTACGAAGGTTTCACATGAAGAACAATGTGGTTACTACATTTACCCATATTATCAAGTTCCCACCCACACCCCAATGCAGTCACTGTCCATCAGTGCAGCAAGTTGCCAGAGATCCACTATGTCCCTTTTCTGTGATACACTGTTCTCCTGTGATCCCCCACACCATGTGTACTAAACATAATACCCCTCAATCCCTTTCTCCCTCCCTCCCCACCTGCCCACCCTCCCACACCCCTCCCCTTTGGTAACCATTAGTTCATTCTTGGAGTCTCTGAGTCTGCTGCCATTTTGTTCCTTCAGTTTTGCTTCATTGTTATACTCCACAAATGAGGGAAATCATTTGGCATTTGTCTTTCTCCGCCTGGCTTATTTCACTGAGCATAATGTCCTCCAGCTCCATCCATGTTGTTGCAAATGGTAGGATTTCTTTCTTTCTTATGGCTGAATAGTATTCCATTGTATATATGCACCACATCTTCTTTATCCATTCATCTACAGATGGACACTTAAGTTGCTTCCACATCTTGGCTATTGTAAAAAGTGCTGCGATGAACATAGGGGTGCATATGTCTTTTTGAATCTGAGAAGTTGTATTCTTTGGGTATATTCTGAGAAGTGGGATTCCC